CAGGAACCCGATCTTAGGATATGGGGGGCAAATCGTGCGAGAGAGGATCTGAGCTTCCTTTCTGGTCTCGGAGTTTACTCGCCTCGCCGAGTGGTGAGTCCAGCCTTGAGGCCTGCTCAGCTTGAAGCTCGAGCCGAACTGCCTACGGACGCCTGCAGCAGCAACGGCCCCCCCCGACTGAACATTGGGCCATACTGCCTCTGGCGTTCGGCCCAGGTGCTCCCGGCCTCCCCCAGAAGGCTTTCGACGAAAAGCCGCTGGTGGAAAGCAGCCCGTGGTCCGAGAAGCCACAGGTGCCTCCAACAGAAAAATCGAAACCTCGAGGTTTCGTTTCTTCTGTTGGAGGCAGCTGGGGGCTCCGTCTCCTTGTGGCAACGAACGAAAGCTCGCAGATAGAGGAACAGCAACTGGCACAAGCATATAGTTCTGGCGCTCCGCGCAGATTTCTCGGATCGGCGCTGGAGCCCCCTCCCTGGCGCGCGGGGCGCGCCAGGGGCGGCGCCGGAGGCGCCGTCAGCGGGGCCCAGCGCCGATCCAAGCAATCCGCGAGGAGCGAAACAAGATTGTGTTTGTGTGCCCTTTTTGCTTCTTCCTCCAGACGAGGGCCCCCTCCCAAAGGCCGAGGCGACCCCTCCGCTGCGCGGGGCGGTCCTGCGGGAGAAGCCGGCCCGTGCGGAGGGGGCGGCGGCCGTGAGCCCGCAAGACGGCTGGCAGCTGAGCGTGCATGTCCTGTCCCCGCACCTCCTTCCCCCCTTGGGTGCTGGCAGGCGACCACCGTGCGCGCGAGGATTTCAGGAGGCCCTCCAGCTGGCGCCTCGCCTGCGCGCGTGCGGGGAGGGTCGCGACGTCAGTCTCCCCTGGTTCCTCCTGCTTCTCGCCGTCCTCCTCATCCTCCTCATCCTCATCCTCCTTCTGTTCCTCCTCCTCCTCCTCTTCCTCCTTATCATTCTCATTCTCGTCCACCACCACCACCACCACCATCGCCATCATCATCATCATCATCATCATCATCATCATCATCATCATCATCATCACCACCACCACCATCATCATCATCATCATCATCATCATCACCATCAGCATCATCATCATCATTATCAGCATCATCATCATCATCATCATCAGCATCATCATCATCATCATCGTCATCGTCATCATCAGCATCATCATCATCAGCATCAGCATCGGCATCGTCATCGTCATCGTGATCATCATCATCATCATCATCAGCATCATCATCATCAGCATCATCATCATCGTCGTCATCATCCTCATCAGCGTCAACAGCAACATCATCATCGGCAGCATCAGCACCACCACCACCACCATCGTCACCATCGTCATCAGTAGCATCATCATCAGCATCATCAGCATCATCATCAGCAGCAGCATCATCATCATCAGCAGCATCATTACCATCATCATCAGCAGCATCATATCACCAGCATAATCATCATCATCATCATCATCGTCATCCTCATCAGCATCAGCAGCATCATCATCATCAGCAGCATCATCATCACCAGTATAATCATCATCATCATCATCATCATCATCATCATCATCATCATCATCATCATCATCATCATCATCGTCACCCTCATCAGCATCAGCATCAGAATCATCACCATCCTCAGCATCATTATCATCATCCGCATCATCATAACCACCATCAGTATCTTCATCCTCCTCGTCGTCATCAGCAGAAGCAACAGCAGCACTATCATCATCGTAATCATCATCAGCAGCATGATTATCATGAGAATTCTCACGAGCATCACCATCCTCATCATCATCCTCATTATCACCCTCGTCAACATACTCATCGTCATCGTTATCACCATCATCATCAGCAGCATCGGCGTCATCATCATCGTCGTCGTCGTTGCTGTCGTCGTTGTCGTCATCGTCGTCGTCGTCTGCATCGTCATCGGCATCATCATCAGCATCGGGCTCACCATCATCGTCATCATCATCATCGTCATCATCAGAATCGTCGTCGTCGTCATCATTCCTCGATGCCAGAGCCAAGAACAAGCATAAAGTCGCTATCTCACCTCGCACAAAAAAAACTCGTCGCTGGGAGCCGGAGCTTTCTAGCTACCTCGCGGACGAGGCTACGCTATAGGGGTAATGGCACAGAGAGCGAGCCAGCGCTGGCCATACAGCGAACGGGAGTCGAGGCCGTGGCTGACACCGACATAACATTATGCGAGCTCAGGCTCGGATCATGAGCATCATCGTCATCATCATCATCATCAGCATCATCATCATCATCATCATCATCATCATCATCATCATCATCATCGTCATCATCATCATATCATGATCATCATCGTCCTCATCATCATCATAATCATCAGCATCATCATCATCATCATCATCATCGTCATCATCATCAGCATCATCACCATCATCGTCATCGTCATCATCATCAGCATCGTCATCATCACCATCGGCAGCATCATCATCACCATCATCAGCTTCGTCATCATCATCATCAGCAGCATCGTCATCATCATCATCATCGTCGTCGTCATCGTCATCATCATCATCGTCATCATCGTCATCATCGTCTTCGTCGTCGTCAGCATCAGCATCAGCATCAGCGTCAGCGTCAGCATCATACACATCAGCATGGTCAGCAGTATGATCATCGGCAGCAGCACCATCATCATCAGTACCATAATCATCATCAGCAACATCAACATCATCATCATCATGATCCTCATCGTCATCATCAGCATCCATATCAACATCCCCATCCGCATCATCAGCATCACAACCACCACCACCATGACCATCAGCACAACTACCACAATCATCACCGTCAACATCAGCATTAGCATCATAAGCATCATCAACATCAACATCAGCGCCAGCATCAGCAGCAGCATCAGCATCATAAGCAGCAACCTCATCATCATCAGCAGCAGCATCATCACCATCAGCATCATCAGCACCATCAGCATCTGCAGCAGCATCAGCATCAGCACCATCGTCATCATCAACATTGTCATTGTCATTGTCCTGTTCCTCCTCCTGATCCTTCTGCTGCTTCTCCTGCTCATGTTCCTGCTCCTTCTCCCCCAGCTCCCCCTCCTTCTGCTCCTTCTCCTTCTCCTGCTCCTGCTCATCCTCCTGCTCCTCCTCCAGTTCCACATCCTGCTCCTCCTGCTTCTGCTCATCCTCCTCTGCTGCTCCTCCTGCTCATCCTCCTGCTTCTCCTCATCCACCTCGTCCTCCTCCTCCATGAGTGGTCCCGTGGGCACTGGGGCGTGGGGGGAGAAGGGCAACGATCCCTCGCAATAAGAATGGGACCGCGCTGCCGCTGCCAGTGCTGGCTAGACCACGAGTCATTGGACAAGACGTGGCCGCGCACCCGAGGCCACGGCCCCTCCTCAGAAACCAAGGGGCGCTCGAGATCCCGATCCAATGTAACAAAAACTGAAGAATGGTTGGTCCATGCTCGGAAGAGGAAGAGATGGGGCATCGGGGCTCTGGGCATGGAGGTTCGAGGGTCGAAGTGACACCTTGGCCCTCTCTGGGGCACCGAAGCCACCCAAGACGTTGAGGGAGGGGGAAAAAGGAAGGGGTGGAGCAGTGGTGGAGGGAGGGGCTCGGTGTACTCCAAACTACTGGAACAGCAACAGAGAGCAATACGCAGCAGACCCCCGAGGCAAAGGCGCTTTTTCTGTGCGCTACCCATCGCTGCCGGTTATGGTCCTGGCCTCCTTCGCCTCGCACCAGAGGGACCACTTGCCCCTCGGGTCGGGGTCGAAGAGCACGTAGCAAGCCAACATCACCGACATCAGGGTCACCAGCAGGGTGGCCATCCTGGGGTCTGGTCTTACTGATACATCAATGTTAATGTATATATGTACTAGAACCACGCGCGCGCTTCGCGCGCGCTTAGGTTCTAGTCACCCCCGCGACCACGCTCAACCCCGCCAATGCCGCCACGGTTACCACCGCCCTTTCCGCCATCACCGCGGTCACGACCACTTCCACGACGATTGCACGTTCCACGACCACTATAACGGCCATTGGTTCAACCTCTGCCTGTACCACCACCAATACCACTACCATTGCCACTGCCACTACCGCGAATTCACGACCACTATCATTACCACCACGGCAAGTGCCACCGCCACGACCATCCGAATCATCGGTAGGACCACAATCGGCGCACGAACTGAAGCCAACTGCAGCCATCACCACCACGACCCCTCAAGGGCTCTCCTGGGGGCGTCCTCTGGGCCCCTTGGCGCTGTCTTGGGAGCCTTTTGGGGCTCTCTTGGAGCCCTCTTGGGCCGTCTTGGGGCTCTGATGAGATGTCTTGGGGCCCTCTTGGGCCGTCTTGGGCTCTCTTGGCCCCTTCTTGGGGGCCTCTTGGCCGAATTGGGGATCCCACTCCTTCTTCTCACATCCTCGTTATTCAGTGTTCACTTCTCTTCGCCTTTGCTCGTTTCCTCGCCCTTCCTCCCCTCGTCCTTCTGCGCACTTTTCCTGCTCAGCCTTCCCTCTTCTTCCTCCTCGTCCTGATCTTTCTGCATTTTCCCTCTTTCTCCTCCTCCTCCTCCTCCTCCTCCTCCTCCTCCTCCTCCTCCTCCTCCTCCTCCTCCCTTCCTCCTCCTCCTTCTCCCTCCCCTCCGCGTGGATCTCCGCTGGAGCAGCCTCCGGAAACTCTGGGAGGCCAGGTTCGTCTGGGGCGTTTGGGGGGCCTTTTCGGGCCTCCTTGGGACCTCTGGGAGCGGAGGGCTTGAAATGTTCGTAGGGTATCCTCTCGGGGCCCCTGCTTGGGGCCGTCCTGGGTCCCTCTTGGTCCGTCTTGGGGACCTCTTGGGCTAGCCAGGGGCCCTTCTGGGCTGTCTTGGAACCGTCTTGGGCTTTCTTGGGGCGATCCTGGCGGCCTCTCGGGCCGTCTTCGTTCCCCTGGAAGGGCAAGAGGCGAATCCCTGAAAAATGCACGTTTCGTAAGGAAAAGGGGCCATTATTGCCTCTTGAGGCCCTCTTTTTTCCCGCGTTCTCTTCTCCCCTCCTCCTCCTCCCCCCTCCTCCCCTCCTCCCTCCTCCCTCTACCATCATTCAATCATCATCATCATCATCATCCTTCATAATCATTCATCATTTCATCATGAACATCATCATCATCATCATCATCATCATCATCATTCATCAATCATCATCATCATCGTCATCGTCATCGTCAATCGTCATTCATCATCATCAATCATTCATCAGCAGCATCATCATCAGCATCATCATCGTCAATCGTCATCGTCGTCGTCGTCGTCACCGCCTCCACACATCATCGTCACTTTCGTGGCCCCATCGGGAGTCTCACGAAGGTCCCAATGGGTGTGCCCGCATGCGTCCCGCACCACCATTTCGGCACACCCTTCACACGTTTCGCGGCCCCATAGGGGGGCTCCATCTCCCGAAGTCCCAGTGGGTGTAGCCCGCATGCGTCCCGAAACACCCAATTTGGCATTTTCACCCACCCAGTAGAGCGATTCGTGGCCCCATAGGGAGCTCCACCGAAGCCCCCAGTGGGACTGCCCGCGCGCGTCACGAACCCAATGTGGCATTTTCACCCACCCAGTACACCGTTTCGTGGCCCCATAAGGAGCTCCACCGAAGGTCCAGTGGCGTGTGCCCGCATGGCGCCCCGCACACACCCCCACAACACACACACACACATTGTCGGCCACACCCCTCACAGCGATCGTGGGGATCGTGACCCATAGGGGGCTCCACCGAAGGTCCCAGTGGGTGTGCCCGATTGCGTCCCGCACACCCATTTCGGCACACCCCTCACATGTTTCGCGGCCCCATAGGGAGCTCCACCGAAGGTCCCAGTGGGTGTGCCCGCAAGCGTCCCGCACACCCATTTCGGCACACCCCTCACACGCTTCGTCGCCCCATAGGGGGCTCCACCGAAGGTCCCAGTGGGTGTGCCCGCATGCGTCCCGCACACCCATTTCGGCACACCCCTCACACGTTTCGTGGCCCCTTAGGGAGCTCCACCGAAAGTCCCAGTGGGTGTGCCCGCATGCGTCCCGCACACCCATTTCGGCACACCCTTCACACGCTTCGTGGCCCAATAGGGAGCTCCACCGAAGGTCCCAGTGGGTGTGCCCGCATGCGTCCCGCACACCCAATTTGACATTTGCACCCACCCAGTACAACGTTTCGTGGCCTCACAGGGAGCTCCACCGAAGCCCCTAGTGGGACCGCCCGCATGCGTCCCCCACGCCCAATTTGGCATGTTCACCCACCCAGTGCAACGGCGCTTCGTGACCCCATAGGGAGTTCCACCGAAGCCCCCAGTGGAACCGCCCACATGCGTCCCCCACATCCAATTTGGCATTTTCACCCACACACTACAACGCTTCGCGGCCCAATAGGGAGCCCCACCGAAGCCCCCAGTGGGACCGCCCGCATGCGTCTCCGACGCCCAACTTGGCATTGCCACCCACACAGCAGAGCGTTTCGTGGCCCCATAGGGAGCCCCACCGAAGCCCCCAGTAGGTGTGCCCGCATGCGTCCACCCACCCAGCACAGCGTTTCGTGGCCCCAGAGGGAGCTCCACCGACGAAGCCCCCAATGGGACCGCCCGCATGCGTCCCACACGCCTAATTTGGTATTCTCACCCACCCTGTACAGCGTTTCGTGGCCTTATAGGGAGCTTCACCGACGGCCCCAGTGCTGCTACCGCCCGCATGCCGCCTAGCGCAGCGCTTCGGGGCCCCATAGGGAGCTTCACAGAAGAAGATATTCACAATTGCGGTACCCACAACTTCATATGGTTGGGTCCTTCGCCAGGATAATTTTTGTGTCCTCCCATGTCCTGTGCAGGACTGGCCCTGCGACCGTGCGGGATCTGCTCTGCTCTGCTCTCTGCAGAACGTGCTAAAGATGCAAAAGTGGCAAAAGAGGCCGGCTACTGGTGGGCCACTGCACCACGACGTAAACGTCGGCGGGGAACATCAATCAACCCGTTGCGGGCGGGCGGGCGGGCTCGACCGCCCCGCGCGGAGGCGGGAGCCCTCGGCTCAGTAGCCAATTGCGACGGAGCCCTGTAGATGCGAAGCTTGATCATACAACCGCGCCTCGAGGGACAACATCTTCTGGCACCCTTCCTCAGGCGCCGCCGCCTCCGTGTGGTCATCCTCTCCCAGCAGCCCTCCGACACGATATCCAGTGCGCTGAAGGTTCTTGACGTAGACGTTCAGATAAGGCTGCCCCTTATCGGTATGACCGCTGCCGACTTTGAGCTCCACAAGCCCGAGTTTCAGCCACTTCGGCGTCTCGTCACGCGCGTCGTGAGCGTCGAAGTGAAGGCCTCCAGGCCGCACCTTGTTCGCCCACGTCCCTGTGGCGTTGATCTCCTGGAAGTACATGTCCGAGCAGTGTGTCCCCAATCGACGCGCGTCGGCCTCTACAACAAGCAGCGCATCCTCGACGGGCGTTCCGCGCGGAACGCTGACCAAGACAAAATTGCCTGGCCTCACCAAATCGAACCGCTGACCGAACATGTTCTGCAAGTGTGGATCGCCGGTGGCGGAGGACAATGACGTCGTCGGTGCTGGCGTTGGTGCTGGCGTCGACGCCTCCTGCGGGCACTCCCGCACGCCGCCCATGTGCGAGCAGCTCACTTCACAGCAGTGGTCGCCGTATCCGCCGCAAGCACGTTGTTCACACATGGCTGGAAAATTCGGGGGGCACCGCGCTCTGCCTCCATGATCCTCGCAGCATCCCCAGCCATCTGACACCCCAGAGCATAGCGTTCCATCAGTGCACTCGAGTATGTTGTCGTTCGACGTTGTCGAGAGCCACGTGCACACCGTCGTAGGGTCTGGAGTTGGTGCTGGTGTAGGCGCAGGGGTTGGTGTGATCACGTATACCCTGGAAGCGTAGAACACCTGGGTGCCTGGCCACTCGTGTGCTCCACTTGACACAGAATGAATCCCGATACCGTCGGCTGATCCAGGACAACAGCAACACGATTCTTCATCGCGCAGAATTCCAATACGAAATTGCAGATTCAACCGGTACGCGTTGAAACTCAACCTGTCAACATCAGTACAATAAAGCGGTTCGGCAGAGTTAGTGGCCACAACGCCCCACAAGTCCGAATGCGCAGTCGAGGTTTGCACCATAGCGTAAGCGTAAGGTTTACTAGAACTGACACCTGAACACGGGGTTTGCAACACAGGCGTCCCTGTGACAAGCGTGTGCAAGGACTTACCCAAATCTGAGTTCTCGAAAAAGAAGTCATGGCTCTGTCCGTTCATCTCGACTCTTAGGCCAACAGCATCGGTACTGAAGAAGGGAGCCAGCAATCTGTTTCCCGAGGGATCTGTATATGCGGCGGTTTGCTCCCATGCGGCGCCGTTGTACAAAAACTCGTTGCTCTGGGTCGTAATGTCCAATGCCAGGTAATACGCCAGGTCCGTGGAGTCTTCAGTCCGTAGCTCTGCGGCCTCGAAACCGTCCGGCCCATGCACAGACGTCTGCAGGAACTGCATATCCGCGCCAACAGTGTGAGCGAGCGCAGATGCCACCGCAAAGATCAGTCCGTGTACCATTGTTGCGTCGACGAAGGCCAAGAGGTGTAGTAATGAATGTTCAGTGGCGATGTGAGAACACGACGACGTTGAGCCAAAGTGGCTACGGCTTTTTTGCCTCTTGGGGCCCTCTTGGGAGGGCTCTTGGGACCCTCTTGGGCACAAGACTCTTGGGCTGTCTCGGGGGCTCCCGGGAGCCCTCTTGGAGCCATCGTCGGCGTCTTCAAGCTACATTGCGAGGCTCGTGCGCCCTCTTGATCTGTTTGGCGGCATCTGGCGCCCTCGGGAGCCGTCCCACGAGCGCCCCAGAGGCCCCGGTACCCCATCATCATCATCATCATCATCATCATCATCATCATCATCATCATCATCATCAGCATCATCAACATCATCATCATCATCATCATCATCATCATCATCATCATCATCATCATCATCATCATCATCATCATCATCATCATCATCATCATCATTACATCATCATCAGCATCAGCATCATCATCGTCATCGTCATCGTCATCGTCATCGTCATCGTCATCGTCATCATCATCATCATCATCATCATCAGCATCATCATCAGCATCATCATCATCATCGTCATCGTCGTCGTCGTCGTCACCGTCATCACCATCATCGTCACATTGCGTGGCCCCATCGGGAGCTCCACCGAAGGTCCCAATGGGTGTGCCCGCATGCGTCCCGCACACCCATTTCGACACACCCTTCACACGTTTCGCGGCCCCATAGGGAGCTCCACCGAAGGTCCCAGTGGGTGTGCCCGCATGCGTCCCGCACACCCATTTCGGCACACCCTTCACACGTTTCGTGGCCCCATAGGGGGCTCCACCGAAGCCCCCGGTGGGTGTGCCCGCATGCGTCCCGCACACCCATTTCGGCACACCCCTCACACGTTTCGTGGCCCCATAGGGAGCTCCGCCGAAGGTCCCAGTGGGTGTGCCCGCATGCGTCCCGCACACACACACACACACACACACACACACACATGTCGGCACACCCCTCACACGATTCGTGACCCCATAGGGGGCTCCACCGAAGGTCCCAGTGGGTGTGCCCGATTGCGTCCCGCACACCCATTTCGGCACACCCCTCACATGTTTCGCGGCCCATAGGGAGCTCCACCGAAGGTCCCAGTGGGTGTGCCCGCAAGCGTCCCGCACACCCATTTCGGCACACCCCTCACACGCTTCGTCGCCCCATAGGGGGCTCCACCGAAGGTCCCAGTGGGTGTGCCCGCATGCGTCCCGCACACCCATTTCGGCACACCCCTCACACGTTGCGTGGCCCCTTAGGGAGCCCCACCGAAAGTCCCAGTGGGTGTGCCCGCATGCGTCCCGCATACCCATTTCGGCACACCCTTCACACGCTTCGTGGCCCAATAGGGAGCTCCACCGAAGGTCCCAGTGGGTGTGCCCGCATGCGTCCCGCACACCCAATTTGACATTTGCACCCACCCAGTACAACGTTTCGTGGCCTCACAGGGAGCTCCACCGAAGCCCCAAGTGGGACCGCCCGCATGCGTCCCCCACGCCCAATTTGGCATGTTCACCCACCCAGTGCAACGGCGCTTTGTGACCCCATAGGGAGTTCCACCGAAGCCCCCAGTGGAACCGCCCACATGCGTCCCCCACAACCAATTTGGCATTTTCACCCACACACTACAACGCTTCGCGGCCCAATAGGGAGCCCCACCGAAGCCCCAGTGGGACCGCCGCATGCGTCTCGACGCCCAACTTGGCATTGCCCCACCCACACAGTCAGGCGTTCGTGGCCCAATATGGGTGCTCCACCGAAGCCCCAGTAGGTGTGCCCGCATGCGTCACCCACACCCAGCACAGCGTTTCGTGGCCCCAGAGGGAGCTCCACGACGGAGCCCCCAAATGGGACCACGCCGCATGCGTCCCACACGACAATTTGTATTTCTCAAACAGTTTGTACAGCGTTTTCGTGGCCAGAGGGAGCTTCACCGACCGCGGGAGCTTCACCGACCGGCCCCAGTTGCTGCTACCGCCCCCCCGCCCGCATGCCGCCTAGCGCAGCGCTTCGTGGCCCCATAGGGAGCTTCACAGAAGAAGATATTCACAATTGCGGTACCCACAACTTCATATGGTCGGGTCCTTCGCCAGGATAATTTTTGTGTCCTCCCGTGTCCTGTGCAGGACTGGCCCTGCGACCGTGCGGGATCTGGTCTGCTCTGCTCTCTGCAGAACGTACTAAAGATGCAAAAGTGGCAAAAGAGGCAGGGTACTGGTGGGCCACTGCACCACGACGTAAACGTCGGCGGGGAACATCAATCAACCCGTTGCGGACGGGCGGGCGGGCTCGACCGCCCCGCGCGGAGGCGGGAGCCCTCGGCTCAGTAGCCAATTGCGACGGAGCCCTGTAGATGCGAAGCTTGATCATAACCGCGCCTCGAGGGACAACATCTTCTGGCACCCTTCCTCAGGCGCCGCCGCCTCCGTGTGGTCATCCTCTCCCAGCAGCCCTCCGACACGATATCCAGTGCGCTGAAGGTTCTTGACGTAGACGTTCAGATAAGGCTGCCCCTTATCGGTATGACCGCTGCCGACTTTGAGCTCCACAAGCCCGAGTTTCAGCCACTTCGGCGTCTCGTCACGCGCGTCGTGAGCGTCGAAGTGAAGGCCTCCAGGCCGCACCTTGTTCGCCCACGTCCCTGTGGCGTTGATCTCCTGGAAGTACATGTCCGAGCAGTGTGTCCCCAATCGACGCGCGTCGGCCTCTACAACAAGCAGCGCATCCTCGACGGGCGTTCCGCGCGGAACGCTGACCAAGACAAATTTGCCTGGCCTCACCAAATCGAACCGCTGACCGAACATGTTCTGCAAGTGTGGATCGCCGGTGGCGGAGGACAATGACGTCGTCGGTGCTGGCGTTGGTGCTGGCGTCGACGCCTCCTGCGGGCACTCCCGCACGCCGCCCATGTGCGAGCAGCTCACTTCACAGCAGTGGTCGCCGTATCCGCCGCAAGCACGTTGTTCACACATGGCTGGAAAATTCGGGGGGCACCGCGCTCTGCCTCCATGATCCTCGCAGCATCCCCAGCCATCCGACACCCCAGAGCATAGCGTTCCATCAGTGCACTCGAGTATGTTGTCGTTCGACGTTGTCGAGAGCCACGTGCACACCGTCGTAGGGTCTGGAGTTGGTGCTGGTGTAGGCGCAGGGGTTGGTGTGATCACGTATACCCTGGAAGCGTAGAACACCTGGGTGCCTGGCCACTCGTGTGCTCCACTTGACACAGAATGAATCCCGATACCGTCGGCTGATCCAGGACAACAGCAACACGATTCTTCATCGCGCAGAATTCCAATACGAAATTGCAGATTCAACCGGTACGCGTTGAAACTCAACCTGTCAACATCAGTACAATAAAGCGGTTCGGCAGAGTTAGTGGCCACAACGCCCCACAAGTCCGAATGCGCAGTCGAGGTTTGCACCATAGCGTAAGCGTAAGGTTTACTAGAACTGACACCTGAACACGGGGTTTGCAACACAGGCGTCCCTGTGACAAGCGTGTGCAAGGACTTACCCAAATCTGAGTTCTCGAAAAAGAAGTCATGGCTCTGTCCGTTCATCTCGACTCTTAGGCCAACAGCATCGGTACTGAAGAAGGGAGCCAGCAATCTGTTTCCCGAGGGATCTGTATATGCGGCGGTTTGCTCCCATGCGGCGCCGTTGTACAAAAACTCGTTGCTCTGGGTCGTAATGTCCAATGCCAGGTAATACGCCAGGTCCGTGGAGTCTTCAGTCCGTAGCTCTGCGGCCTCGAAACCGTCCGGCCCATGCACAGACGTCTGCAGGAACTGCATATCCGCGCCAACAGTGTGAGCGAGCGCAGATGCCACCGCAAAGATCAGTCCGTGTACCATTGTTGCGTCGACGAAGGCCAAGAGGTGTAGTAATGAATGTTCAGTGGCGATGTGAGAACACGACGACGTTGAGCCAAAGTGGCTACGGCTTTTTTGCCTCTTGGGGCCCTCTTGGGAGGGCTCTTGGGGCCCTCTTGGGCACAAGACTCTTGGGCTGTCTCGGGGGCTCCCGGGAGCCCTCTTGGAGCCATCGTCGGCGTCTTCAAGCTACATTGCGAGGCTCGTGCGCCCTCTTGATCTGTTTGGCGGCATCCGGCGCCCTCGGGAGCCGTCCCACGAGCGCCCCAGAGGCCCCGGTACCCCATCATCATCATCATCATCATCATCATCATCATCATCATCATCATCATCATCATCATCATCATCATCAGCATCATCAACATCATCATCATCATCATCATCATCATCATCAGCATCAGCATCATCATCGTCATCGTCATCGTCATCGTCATCGTCATCGTCATCGTCATCATCATCATCATCATCATCATCATCATCATCAGCAGCATCATCATCAGCATCATCATCATCATCGTCATCGTCGTCGTCGTCGTCACCGTCATCACCATCATCGTCACATATCGTGGCCCCATCGGGAGCTCCACCGAAGGTCCCAATGGGTGTGCCCGCATGCGTCCCGCACACCCATTTCGACACACCCTTCACACGTTTCGCGGCCCCATAGGGAGCTCCACCGAAGGTCCCAGTGGGTGTGCCCGCATGCGTCCCGCACACCCATTTCGGCACACCCTTCACACGTTTCGTGGCCCCATAGGGGCTCCACCGAAGCCCCCGGTGGGTGTGCCCGCATGCGTCCCGCACACCCATTTCGGCACACCCCTCACACGTTTCGTGGCCCCATAGGGAGCTCCGCCGAAGGTCCCAGTGGGTGTGCCCGCATGCGTCCCGCACACACACACACACACACACACACACACACACACACACACACACATGTCGGCACACCCCTCACACGATTCGTGACCCCATAGGGGGCTCCACCGAAGGTCCCAGTGGGTGTGCCCGATTGCGTCCCGCACACCCATTTCGGCACACCCCTCACATGTTTCGCGGCCCCATAGGGAGCTCCACCGAAGGTCCCAGTGGGTGTGCCCGCAAGCGTCCCGCACACCCATTTCGGCACACCCCTCACACGCTTCGTCGCCCCATAGGGGGCTCCACCGAAGGTCCCAGTGGGTGTGCCCGCATGCGTCCCGCACACCCATTTCGGCACACCCCTCACACGTTGCGTGGCCCCTTAGGGAGCCCCACCGAAAGTCCCAGTGGGTGTGCCCGCATGCGTCCCGCATACCCATTTCGGCACACCCTTCACACGCTTCGTGGCCCAATAGGGAGCTCCACCGAAGGTCCCAGTGGGTGTGCCCGCATGCGTCCCGCACACCCAATTTGACATTTGCACCCACCCAGTACAACGTTTCGTGGCCTCGCAGGGAGCTCCACCGAAGCCCCTAGTGGGACCGCCCGCATGCGTCCCCCACGCCCAATTTGGCATGTTCACCCACCCAGTGCAACGGCGCTTTGTGACCCCATAGGGAGTTCCACCGAAGCCCCCAGTGGAACCGCCCACATGCGTCCCCCACATCCAATTTGGCATTTTCACCCACACACTACAACGCTTCGCGGCCCAATAGGGAGCCCCACCGAAGCCCCCAGTGGGACCGCCCGCATGCGTCTCCGACGCCCAACTTGGCATTGCCACCCACACAGCAGAGCGTTTCGTGGCCCCATAGGGAGCCCCACCGAAGCCCCCAGTAGGTGTGCCCGCATGCGTCCACCCACCCAGCACAGCGTTTCGTGGCCCCAGAGGGAGCTCCACCGACGAAGCCCCCAATGGGACCGCCCGCATGCGTCCCACACGCCTAATTTGGTATTCTCACCCACCCTGTACAGCGTTTCGTGGCCTTATAGGGAGCTTCACCGACGGCCCCAGTGCTGCTACCGCCCGCATGCCGCCTAGCGCAGCGCTTCGTGGCCCCATAGGGAGCTTCACAGAAGAAGATATTCACAATTGCGGTACCCACAACTTCATATGGTCGGGTCCTTCGCCAAGATAATTTTTGTGTCCTCCCGTGTCCTGTGCAGGACTGGCCCTGCGACCGTGCGGGATCTGGTCTGCTCTGCTCTCTGCAGAACGTACTAAAGATGCAAAAGTGGCAAAAGAGGCAGGGTACTGGTGGGCCACTGCACCACGACGTAAACGTCGGCGGGGAACATCAATCAACCCGTTGCGGACGGGCGGGCGGGCTCGACCGCCCCGCGCGGAGGCGGGAGCCCTCGGCTCAGTAGCCAATTGCGACGGAGCCCTGTAGATGCGAAGCTTGATCATACAACCGCGCCTCGAGGGACAACATCTTCTGGCACCCTTCCTCAGGCGCCGCCGCCTCCGTGTGGTCATCCTCTCCCAGCAGCCCTCCGACACGATATCCAGTGCGCTGAAGGTTCTTGACGTAGACGTTCAGATAAGGCTGCCCCTTATCGGTATGACCGCTGCCGACTTTGAGCTCCACAAGCCCGAGTTTCAGCCACTTCGGCGTCTCGTCACGCGCGTCGTGAGCGTCGAAGTGAAGGCCTCCAGGCCGCACCTTGTTCGCCCACGTCCCTGTGGCGTTGATCTCCTGGAAGTACATGTCCGAGCAGTGTGTCCCCAATCGACGCGCGTCGGCCTCTACAACAAGCAGCGCATCCTCGACGGGCGTTCCGCGCGGAACGCTGACCAAGACAAATTTGCCTGGCCTCACCAAATCGAACCGCTGACCGAACATGTTCTGCAAGTGTGGATCGCCGGTGGCGGAGGACAATGACGTCGTCGGTGCTGGCGTTGGTGCTGGCGTCGACGCCTCCTGCGGGCACTCCCGCACGCCGCCCATGTGCGAGCAGCTCACTTCACAGCAGTGGTCGCCGTATCCGCCGCAAGCACGTTGTTCACACATGGCTGGAAAATTCGGGGGGCACCGCGCTCTGCCTCCATGATCCTCGCAGCATCCCCAGCCATCCGACACCCCAGAGCATAGCGTTCCATCAGTGCACTCGAGTATGTTGTCGTTCGACGTTGTCGAGAGCCACGTGCACACCGTCGTAGGGTCTGGAGTTGGTGCTGGTGTAGGCGCAGGGGTTGGTGTGATCACGTATACCCTGGAAGCGTAGAACACCTGGGTGCCTGGCCACTCGTGTGCTCCACTTGACACAGAATGAATCCCGATACCGTCGGCTGATCCAGGACAACAGCAACACGATTCTTCATCGCGCAGAATTCCAATACGAAATTGCAGATTCAACCGGTACGCGTTGAAACTCAACCTGTCAACATCAGTACAATAAAGCGGTTCGGCAGAGTTAGTGGCCACAACGCCCCACAAGTCCGAATGCGCAGTCGAGGTTTGCACCATAGCGTAAGCGTAAGGTTTACTAGAACTGACACCTGAACACGGGGTTTGCAACACAGGCGTCCCTGTGACAAGCGTGTGCAAGGACTTACCCAAATCTGAGTTCTCGAAAAAGAAGTCATGGCTCTGTCCGTTCATCTCGACTCTTAGGCCAACAGCATCGGTACTGAAGAAGGGAGCCAGCAATCTGTTTCCCGAGGGATCTGTATATGCGGCGGTTTGCTCCCATGCGGCGCCGTTGTACAAAAACTCGTTGCTCTGGGTCGTAATGTCCAATGCCAGGTAATACGCCAGGTCCGTGGAGTCTTCAGTCCGTAGCTCTGCGGCCTCGAAACCGTCCGGCCCATGCACAGACGTCTGCAGGAACTGCATATCCGCGCCAACAGTGTGAGCGAGCGCAGATGCCACCGCAAAGATCAGTCCGTGTACCATTGTTGCGTCGACGAAGGCCAAGAGGTGTAGTAATGAATGTTCAGTGGCGATGTGAGAACACGACGACGTTGAGCCAAAGTGGCTACGGCTTTTTTGCCTCTTGGGGCCCTCTTGGGAGGGCTCTTGGGGCCCTCTTGGGCACAAGACTCTTGGGCTGTCTCGGGGGCTCCCGGGAGCCCTCTTGGAGCCATCGTCGGCGTCTTCAAGCTACATTGCGAGGCTCGTGCGCCCTCTTGATCTGTTTGGCGGCATCCGGCGCCCTCGGGAGCCGTCCCAGGAGCGCCCCAGAGGCCCCGGTACCCCATGCGCGCTCGAGGTCGCGGTCCCAAGCCCCCAGTCGTAGCTAGGCTTGATCGGCCAACTCATGTAATCTCGTTTTGGTCGCTTCCTACGTCCAGGGACTCCCTTGGAGGCCCTGCGCAAGCCTCGAGTGCGGAGACGCAGAAATCATTAATTGATTTCCTTTGGGTATTCAACGATTTGAGACCCTCAAAGGCTTCCTAGGTTTTTGGGGGGAGGTGAGGGGGTCTGAATTGTAGTCTGTTTTTCAAGAGTAGACTGGGAACCAAACTTGAAAAACAAAAAAACGAAAAAGGAATTATGGGATTCCCGTTTTTTCCAGTTCCTCGGCGCTATTCGGCGTTGTTTTTTATTTGTGCCTCGCGGGTTTTGTTAGCCGGGCCCCTCGGGGGTGTGGCTTCCGGACCCCCTGGGGGTTCTGGAGGGCTCCTGGAGGCCCGGAGAGCTGTCGGAAGGGTGTCTCGGGCTGCGCGGGAGCGTGTTGGGCCGTTCTTTACGTTCTGGGGGCTCCTTGGGGTCGTCTTGGGCTGTCCTTGGGCGTCTTGGGGGCCCCCTCGGAAGCCGGGAGACGCGGTACCGGCCAGATGTCAGGGGATGTGTTGGATCTCCGAGTCGGAGTCCCACTTTGAAAAAAACGGGAATGCTGGGAATCCCTTTTTGTCCCAACCCTCCTATGGTTGGGTACTCGATTTGAATAGAGCAGTGTGGTCGCCCCGGCCTCCTTCTTCTCCTCCCCCCACCTCCCCTCCTCCTCTCCTGTTTCCTGTGCTCCCCTCTCCTCTTCTCTCGTGCCATCTGCGATCTGCGCAACTGTCGCCACTTTCGTGGGCTCCTGGGAGGACCAGCGGAGGTGGGTCCCACGCGGATCACCTCGGTACCTCGCCGCCCCCTGGGGGGCTTGCGATCTGCGCAACTGCCGCCACTTTCGTGGGCTCCTGGGAGGCCCAGCGGAGGTGGGTCCCACGCGGATCACCTCGGGACCTCGCCGCCCCCTGGGGAGCTTGCGATCTGCGCTACTGCCGCCACTTTCGTGGGATCCTGGAAGGCCCAGCGGAGGTGGTCCCACGCGGATCACCTCGGGACCTCGCCGCCACCTGGGGTTTGCGACCTGCGCAACTGTCGCCACTTTCGTGGGCTCCTGGGAGGCCCAGCGGAGGTGGGTCCCACGCGGATCACCTCGGGACCTCGCCGCCCCCTGGGGAGCTTGCGATCTGCGCTACTGCCGCCACTTTCGTGGGATCCTGGAAGGCCCAGCGGAGGTGGTCCCACGCGGATCACCTCGGGACCTCGCCGCCACCTGGGGTTTGCGACCTGCGCAACTGTCGCCACTTTCGTGGGCTCCTGGGAGGACCAGCGGAGGTGGGTCCCACGCGGATCACCTCGGGACCTCGCAGCCCCCTGGGGGGCTTGCGATCTGCGCAACTGTCGCCACTTTCGTGGGCTCCTGGGAGGCCCAGCGGAGGTGGGTCCCACGCGGATCACATCGGGACCGCGCCGCCCCCTGGGGTGCTTGCGATCTGCGCAAGCTGTCGCCACTTTCGTGGGCTCCTGGGAGGCCCAGCGGATGTGGGCCCCGCGCGGATCAGCTCGGGACCTCGCCGCCCCCTGGGGGGCTTGCGATCTTCGCAACTGCCGCCACGTTCGTGGGCTCCTGGGCGGCCCAGCGGAGGTGGGTCCCACGCGGATCACCTCGGGACCTCGCCGCCCCCTGGGGGGCTTGCGATCTTCGCAACTGCCGCCACTTTCGTGGGCTCCTTCTTTCCCAACCCTCCTATGGTTGGATGCTCGCTTTGAATAGAGCAGTGTGGTCGCCCTGGCCTCCTTCTTCTCCTCCCCCCACCTCCCCTCCTCCTCTCCTGTTTCCTGTGCTCCCCTCCTCTTCTCTCGTGCCATCTGCGATCTGCGCAACTGTCGCCACTTTCGTGGGCTCCTGGGAGGTCCAGCGGAGGTGGGTCCCACGCGGATCACCTCGGGACCTCGCCGCCCCCTGGGGAGCTTGCGATCTGCGCAACTGCCGCAACTTTCGTGGGCTCCTCGGCGGCCCAGCGGAGGTGGGTCCCACGCGGATCACCTCGGGACCGCGCCGCCCCCTGGGGGGGATGCCACCTGCGCAACTGTCGCCATATCCGTTGGCTCCTGGGAGGCCCAGCGGAGGTGGGTCACACGCGGATCACCTCGGGACCTCGCAGCCCCCTGGAGGGCTTGCGATCTTGGCAACTGTCGCCACTTTCGTCGGCTCCGGGGAGGCCCAGCGGAGGTGGGTCCCACGCGGATCACCTCGGGACCTCGCCGCCCCCTGGGGGACTTGCGATCTGCGCAACTGCCGCCACTTTCGTGGGCTCCTGGAAGGCCCAGCGGAGGTGGGTCCCACGCGGATCACCTCGGGACCTCGCAGCCCCCTGGGGGCTTGCGATATGCGCAATGGTCGCCACCTTCGTGGGCCCCTGGGAGGCCCAGCGGAGGTGGGCACCACCACGCGGATCACCTCGGGACCTCGCCGCCCCCTGGGGGGCTTGCAATCTGCGCTACTGCCGCCACTTTCGTGGGCTCCTCGGCGGCCCAGCGGAGGTGGGTCCCACGCGGATCACCTCGGGACCTCGCCGCGCCCTGGGGGGCTATGCGATCTGCGCAACTGCCGCCACTTTCGTGGGCTCCTGGGAGGCCCAGCGGAGGCGGGTCCCACGCGGATCACCTCGGGACCTCGCCGCCCCCTGGGGGGCTTGCGATCTTGGCAACTGTCGCCACTTTCGTGGGCTCCTGGGGGGCCCAGCGGAGGTGGGTCCCACGCGGATCACCTCGGGACCTCGCCGCCTCCTGGGGGGCTTGCGATCTGCGCAACTGTCACCACGTTCCCGGGCTCCTGGGAAGTCCAGCGGAGGTGGGTCCCACGCGGATCACCTCGGGACCTCGCCGCTCCCTGGGGGGCTTGCGATCTGCGCAACTGCCGCCACTTTCGTGGGCTCCTGGGAGGACCAGCGGAGGTGGGTCCCACGCGGATCACCTCGGGACCTCGCCGCCCCCTGGAGGGCTATGCGACCTGCGCAACTGTCACCGTTTTCGTGGGCTCCTGGGAGGCCCAGCGGAGGTGGGTCCCACGCGGATCACCTCGGGACCTCGCCGCCCCCTGGAGGGCTTGCGATCTGCGCAACTGTCGCCACTTTCGTTGGCTCCTCGGCGGCCCAGCGGAGGTGGGTCCCACACGGATCACCTCGGGACCTCGCCGCCCCCTGGGGGGCTTGCGATCTGCGCAACTGCCGCCACTTTCGTGGGCTCCTGGGAGGCCCAGCGGAGGCGGGTCCCACGCGGATCACCTCGGGACCTCGCCGCCCCCTGGGGGGCTTGCGATCTGCGCAACTGTCGCCACTTTCGTTGGCTCCTGGGAGGCCCAGCGAAGGTGGGTCCCACGCGGATCACCTCGGGACCTCGCCGCACCCTGGGGTGCTTGCGATCTGCGCAACTGTCGCCACTTTCGTGGGCTCCTGGGGGGTCCCAGCGGAGGTGGGTCCCACGCGGATCTCCTCGGGACCTCGCCGCCCCCTGGGGGGCTTGCGATCTTGGCAACTGTCGCCACTTCCGTGGGCTCCTGGGAGGCCCATCGGAGCTGGGTCCCACGCGGATCACCTCGGGACCTCGCCGCCCCCTGGGGGGCTTGCGATCTGCGCAACCGTCGCCACTTTCGTGGGCTCCTGGGATGCCCAGCGGAGGTACGTCATACGCGGATCACCTCGGGACCTCGCCGCCCCCTGGGGGGCTTGCGATCTGCGCAATCGTCGCCACTTTCGTGGGCTCCTGGGAGGCCCACGGAGGTGGGTGCCCCACGACTGATCATCACCTCGGGACCTTGCAGCCCCCTGGAAGGCTTGCGATCTGCGCAATGGTCGCCACTTTCGTGGGCCCCTGGGAGGCCCAGCGGAGGTGGGTCCCACGCGGATCACCTCGGGACCTCGCCGCCCCCTGGGGGGCTTGCGATCTGCGCTACTGCCGCCACTTTCGTGGCCACGCGGATCACCTCGGGACCTCGCCGCCCCCTGGGGTGCTTGCGATCTGCGCAACCGTCGCCACTTTCGTGGGCTCATGGGAGGCCCAGCGGAGGTGGGTCCCACGCGGATCACCTCGGGACCTCGCCGCACCCTGGGGGCTTGCGATCTGCGCAACTGTCGCCACTTTCGTTTGCTCCTGGGAGGCCCAGCGGAGGTGGGTCCCACGCGGATCACCTCGGGACCTCGCCGCCCCCTGGGGGGCTTGCGATCTGCGCAACTGCCGCCACTTTCGTTGGCTCCTCGGCGGCCCAGCGGAGGTGGGTCCCACACGGATCACCTCGGGACCTCGCCGCCCCCTGGGGGGGCTTGCGATCTGCGCAACTGCCGCCACTTTCGTGGGCTCCTGGGAGGCCCAGCGGAGGTACGTCCCAAATGGATCACTCGGAGGTACGTCATACGCGTTCCTTTCATCGCCCCCGTGTTTCCATTTTGTATATGTGCCGTTTCTCTTCTTGCTGCGCTCTTCTGAAATCACTGCTGGGTGCTCTTCTTGCGCACTGCGGGTCCTTCAGAATATGCCAGTCAGCTTTGAATGGTCCTGAGTATAATCGCCACATGTATAGAAAGGGTTGGGTACGTCACAGGGTAGTTCCCAATAAAATCCTCGATCTTCGAGGGTTGGAAGCGGGAAAACGTCAGAAGGCGAAAACAATTGAAACAAAGCAATGGGGAATCAACGATTTTACCCTCTTTGGGCTCTCTCGGGACGGCTCTCGCAGCTCTCTGGGGCTGTTCTTGGAGCCTCGTCGGGGACTTTCGGGGCCTCGCAGGGATCGGGGGTGTGTTTGGGGCCTCTGGGGGGTCCCAGAGGCCTCTCGGAGGTCGCTGGAAGCCTCTTGCTCCCGCTCTTGGGTCCATTTTGGGCCTGTTCTGGGGTAGTCTGGTGGGGCTGTGCTGGGCGCCTCTTCGGTAGTCTTGGAGCCTTCGTGGCTCGTCTTGGGGCCGTCTTGAGGGTCTCTTGGGTGGTCTTGGGGCGGTCTTGGGAGCCTCTTCGGCGCTCTTGGACCATTGGAAGCTCGAAAACGCGAGAAGCCAAAAACATTGAACAAACAAATGGAAGTTGACGATTTGGGCCTCTTCGGGCCGTCCCGGGACGCCTCTCGGACCTCTCTCGGGGTCTCTTGGAGGCCACCTGGGAGCCTCGAGAGCCGTCCGAAGGCTGACTTGGGCTGCTTGGGAACGTCTTGGACCATCCTTTCGCATTCTGGGTGCTCCTGGGAGGCGTCTTGGGCCCTCCTAGGGCGCTGTGGAGGCTCCCCGGAAAGGCCTCTTGGGCTCATGGGGGGCGTTCTTGGGCGGTTTAGGCGTCTCGTGGGCCGTCTTGGCCCCCTCGTGGGCTGTTTTTTTTTGTTGTTCACCTTCGACTCCGTCGGCATGCACTGTACTGCGTGTTACTGCACTGTGCTGTGCGTTACTGCACAACACGGAGCGTCCCGCGCTCTTGGCACGATCAGCAGGCAGAGGGCGTCTGTGGCCTCGCCTGATGGGGGCGGCATGTGGCTGACGCCGCTGGAAACCGTGCAGTTGCCAACCAGATTCGCACTTCATGGCGCTCTGGCAAATTGCGCTAGTCTGACAAAGGTGAGAGCACTTCAATATCGTCCGCGATCTTACCTCGGCTTGCCAGGATGCACGCACGACGCGCTCCCTGGTCGAGACTAACGAATGGCAAGCCACACATAACTGGGCACCTCCTCGGAACATCCGATGCTCCAAGTTACCGTGAGGGCGTTCGGGGTTCCGTTCCACCACGAACATGACACGCTGGGGCCCGCCCCATACACAACCTGCACATCCGCGGTCTCCTCGCAAGTCAAGGGCTCCCTCTTGCACAAGTAGTACTTGCCCATGGCCGCACCCGTCCACGGCCGCCCAGAATGATGGTAGACGCCTCCACAGGCTCCGCTCGTGTCGCAGGAACAGGCATACTTGGCCTGGTCCAGGGTGTCGATCGGCGAGTAGCTGAGCAAGTTGCAGTAGCGGCCCCCGATCGCATTCCACGCGCCGGACGGGGGCGGGGGTACCCCGAGAACCGCACCCGCGCTGGCGTTCTGAGCACCGCGCGGCAGAAGATCCGGGGCCGCCACGTCAGCCGCGGCCGAAGTTGCGGCAAGCACCAGGCTCAGAGCGGACAGTCCGGGTGCCATGGCAAGCTTGAGAAGGTTACCTCGGGGACACGTCGGGAGCAACAGGTGCCACTGGACAACGTCGATCAACCAAGCTTGACCCAAAATGGATACGGACCTCGTGGGCCGTCTTGGAGCCCTCTTGGGCGTATCCTCGACCGGCTTGGGTGCCTCTTGGACCGTCTTGGGCGCAGTGGACGCCCAAAAGGCAAACACGCAAAAAAAAACAGTTGTCCCATAGGGAATCGGCGATTTTTGCTTCTTGGGCCACTCTCGGAGTGCCTCTTGGGGCGTTTTCGGAGCCTCTTTTGATTTGTTTCGGGTCTCATGGGGGCCTCTTGGGGCTTCTGGGCTCCTTCTTGGAGCCTCTTGGGGTCTCCTGGGGGCCAGAAGGCCGGAATTTCCGGTTCCTGGCGTCGCCTTGGGGCGTTCTTGGGCGGTTTGGGCGCCTCGTGGGCCGTCTTGGCCCCCTCTTGGGCCGTCTTGGGGCCCTCTTGGGGCCATCCTCGACCGGCTTGGGTGCCTCTTGGGCCGTCTTGGATGCGGTGGACGCCCAAAAGGCAAACACGCAGACAAGATCAGTTGCCCCATGGGAAATCTACGAGTTGTGCTTATTGGGCCACTTTCGGGATGCCTCTTGGGGCGTCTTCAAAACCTTTTTTAATGTTTTTTCGGGTCTAATGGGGGCCTCTTGGGGTTTCGGGGCCCCTTCTTGGAGCCTCATGGGGTCTCCTGGGGGTCTCATGGGCCGAAAGGCCTGAATTTCCGGTTCCTCGTCCCCGTATAGGGCGCCGCCTTGGGCGTTTTTGGGCGGTTTGGGCGCCTCGTGGGACGTCTTGGCCCCCTCGTGGGCAATCTTGGGGGCATCCTCGACCGGCTTGGGTGCCTCTTGGGCCATCTTGGACGCAGTGGACGCCCAAAAGGCAAACACGCCAAAAATATCAGGTGCCCCATCAGAGATTGACAATTGTTGCTTATTGGGCCACTCTCGGTGTGCCTCTTGGGGTGTCTTCGGGGCCTTCGGGGGGCCTTTTTGGGGGTCTCATGGGAGTCGTCTTGAAAAGCGTCTGGAGCCATGCGGCCTCCTGGGGCCTCCCTGCAGCCTCTTGAGGCCCTGTTGGCCCCGAGACGCCGAAACCAAGTAAAGATTACGCCACCGAGGAACCCCACATACTTATATTATGGCTGGACTGATGAGAGATGAAGTGAAGCATGTGAGAATGATGTTGGTGGCCGTTGCCCCGCCAATACCGCTGTGCCCTGGACGACCGTCACGGATAGCGGCCGCGGTGAGAGACCACCCCCTACGCACCCCCTTTACGGTGTCGAGAATATTCCATGCCTGCTGTGCCCTGGACGACCGTCACGAGTAGCGGCCGCGGTGAGGGACCACCCCCTGCGCACCCCCTTATGGTGTCGAGAATATGCCATACCTGCTGTGCCCTGGACGACCGTCACGGATAGCGGCCGCGGTGAGAGACCACCCCTTGCGCACCCACTATGGTGTCAAAAATATGCCACGCCTGCTGTGCCTGGGCGACCGTTACGGATAGCGGCCGCGGTGAGAGACCACCCCTGCGCACCCCCAATAGTGACGAAAATCTGCCATGCCTGCTGCGCCATGGGCGACCAACACGGATAGCGGCCGCGGTGAGAGACCACCCCTTGCGCACCCCCCTTTGATGTCGAGAATATGCTATGCCTGCTGTGCCCTGGACGACCGTCACAGATAGCGGCCGCGGTGAAACGACCACCCCTGCGCACCCCTACGGTGTTCGAGAATATGCGAGAGAAGCGTGATCCACCGCCGCTTTACTGTGGAAAATTGCCCACATTTTCCTCCGGAACCCGGGGGTCTCCCCCCCCTCCGAAAATCCCCCCCCCCCTGCTGGAACCCCCCCCTTCCCCCCCGGCAAAACCCCTCCCTCCCCTAACCCCTCCCCCCCCCCCTCCCACTAACCCCTCCCCCCCCCCCCTCCCCCTCGAAAACGGGGTGTGCACTACGGTTCGAACCCCTCCCCCCACCCCCCTCCGTAATCCGGAAAACCGGGAGGGGTCACTACCGGTTGGAACCCCCCCCCCCTCGAAAACCGCAGGGGGGTCACTACCGGTTCGACCCCCCCCCACGCACCGCGAGCAAACGACTCCCAGTCCCTACCACCGCTCGCATCACATCCCCCACTGTTGTTCCCAGCACCACTGTCCTCACCACCACTGTCCCCACTGGTTCCACCACCGTCCCTATTGTCCCCACCAATGCCCCCACCACTGTCGCACTGTCCCCACTGTTCCCACAACTGTTCCCACCACGGTTCCACTCTCCCCACTGTCTCCACGGACCCAACCACTGCCTATCCCCATTGTCCCCACTGTCCCCTGTCCCACTGACTCCTCCGCTGTCCCACTGAGCTGTCCTACTGTTTCCACCACTGTCCCCACTGTCCCCACCACTGTCCCCACTGTACCTCTGTCCCATTGTCCCACCGCCGTCCTCGCCACCGCCTTTACCAGTGTCTCCACCACCATTGTACCCTCCACTGTCCCAGTGTTTCCACCTCATTCCCACTGTCCCCACCACCACCGTTCCCACCACTGTCCACTGTCCCCCCTGTTCCCACCATTGTCCCCACCACTGTCCCCACCACTACCGTCCCCACCACTGTCCCACTGTCCCACTGTCCCCGCCACTGTCCCGCTATCCCCTCGCCACTGTCCCCACCAACACCGTCCCCACCACTGTCCGCACCTCCACTCGGTTTTCGAGGGGGGGGGGGGGAGGGGTTCGAACTGGTAGTGACCCCCCCCCCCTTTTCATGATGAGCTGGGGGGGGGGGGAGGGTTTTCGACCGGTAGTGACCCCCCCCGGTTTTCCGGTGGGGGGGGGGGGGGGAAGGGGTTCGAACCGGTAGTGACCCCCCCCGGTTTTCCGCCAGCAGCGGTAGAACACGCTCTTTCGAATATGCCATACCTGCTGCGCCCTGGACGACCGTCACGGATAGCGGCCGCGGTGAGAGACCACCCCCTGCGCACCCCCTACGGTGTCGAGAATATGCCATGCCTGCTGCGCCCTGAACGACCGTTACGAGTAGCGGCCGCGGTGAGAGACCAACCCCTGCGCACCCCCTTATGGTGTCGAGAATATGCCACGCCTGCTGTGCCCTGGACGACCGTCACGGATAGCGGCCGCGGTGAGAGACCACCCCCTGCGCACCCCCTACGGTGTCGAGAATACGCCATGCCTGCTGCGCCCTGGACGACCGTCACGGATAGCGGCCGCGGTGAGAGACCACCCCCTGCGCACCCCCTTTATGGTGTCGAGAATATGCCATGCCTGCTGCGCCCTGGACGACCGTCACGGATAGCGGCCGCGGTGAGAGACCACCCCCTGGGAACCCCCTACGCTGTCGAGAATATGCCACGCCTGCTGTGCCCTGGACGACCGTCACGGATAGCAGCCGCGGTGAGAGACCACCCCTCGCGCACCCCCTATGGTGTCGAGAATATGCCATGCCTGCTGTGCCTGGCCAACGGCGGTCCGTCTGAGCCGGCTCAGGGGACAGCTGAATGCGAGGGGTGCCTGTGGAACGAACAGAGGTAGCAAGCGGAACTGCCGGGAAACGCTGAGGCGTGAAGGCCTGCATGGGCGTGGACTTGATGGGGCGTGTCCTGCGCGGACGTGGCACCGCCCCCGTCGCCAGCATCGCCGACTCGCCGAACTTTCGCCAACGGCGACCCATCATCCGACTCTCCCGGCTGATCAGCGGGGAACCCGCCGGATGAAGGGTTCAGCAGGTACCAAAACAAGCAAAGCCTCCTGGCATCGTCGGCGCCTTTTGTTCGCGGCAACTCATTGCATCTGGTGAGGAGCGCGTCAGGCCACCAGTTTGCCAGCTGTCGGTGGTAAGCATCAAATGCGCCGCGTACCAGGGCGTTCCCATGCCAGACAAGATATATTCGCAAACCATCCAGGCTCACCTCAGCGCCCATATCTTGCATAGCTTTCTTGAGCTGCTCGCATGGCGGTGGCAAAGCGGACATTGCGCATTTGGGCGCCATGACGGTAGCCGTACCTTTGACGGAGAGTCACGGGCAGTCGTCCGCGCTCACATATCGAGCAGTCTGAGCCTTCATGGGCCAGGGTGGCTACAATTCTTGATGATGATGATGGTGATGAGGATGATGATGATGATGATGATGCTACAGAATCCCCCCCCCCCGCTCGCGTGCCCCTGCAGCCTCGAAAAAGGCACGCGCGCGCTGGGCCCTGGGAGACCGACCCCCCTGCGCACCGTCTATGCCGTCGAGAGAAGTGCCACGCCTGTTGTGCCTGGACGACCGAGGTGCGACATATCTACCATCGTTTCGAACGACACGCGTGGGTGAGAGACCACGCGACACCCTGCGCACGTCTGGCCCCTGTGGTGTCGAGAAAATGCCACGCCTGCTGTGCTTGGACGACCGTCTTCCATAGCGGCGAGCTCAGGGACCACCCCCTGCACACCCCCTCTGGTGTCGAGAAAGTGCCACGCCTGCTATGCCTGGACGACCGTCGCGCATAGCGGCGAGCTCAGGGACCACCCCCTGCGCACCCCCTAGTGGTGTCGAGAAAGTGCCACGCCTGCTGTGCCTGGACGACCGTCGTGCATAGCGGCCGCGGTGAGAGACCACCCCCTGCGCACCCCCTGTGGTGTCGAGAATGTGCCACGCCTGCTGTGCCTGGACGACCGTCGTGCATAGCGGCCGCGGTGAGAGACCACCCCCTGCGCACCCCCTGTGGTGTCGAGAAAGTGCCACGCCTGCTATGCCTGGACGACTGGGGCGTATGGAGACCGCGGTGAGAGACCACCCCTGCGCACCCCCTGCGGTGTCGAGAAAGTGCCACGCCTGCTATGCCTGGACGACTGGGGCGTATAGAGACCGCGGTGAGAGACCACCCCCTGCGCACCCCCTGTGGTGTCGAGAATGTGCCACGCCTGCTGTGCCTGGCCGACCGTCGTGCATAGCGGACGCGGTGAGAGACCACCCCCTGCGCACCCCCTGT